GCTAGAAAATTTTATTATTGATGAGATAAAGGAAAGACAAGTAGACCTCAGTGGGACCACATGAGAAGAGAGGATCTCGTTCAAAAAAGTCTACAAGATGGTGTCAAGGAACATGGAAATGACACACAGATACAACTGGACAAAAATTATGAACATTGGTACATATGAATTGGGTTCCAAAAAGATTGACATGAGGTACAAGAAATGGACACAGAAGAAATGTGGGCCACAAGACAAACGTATGTCACACAGAAAAAGAAGGATGGAATTAGGATGAAATGCAATTTGCACTTCTGTCATCTTATCAATCTTTCTTTTATTAAGGCATTTGCGATGGGGTACAGAATGAAGAAAAGGAAACGTGTAAGCAAAATAAACAATACAATATTAATACCACGCTAACATAGTTGGCCTACATTTCCATGATAGTGATGCCTCATTTTTTGTTTTATGTCTTTTAACAGTGCACTTCTGTCATCTTATGCCTCAAGTAAAACTAAAGTAGGTAACTGCCATAATTATGGTCCTCTCTATGAAACCGATCACTTGTATACTAGTAATAAATTTGGTTTACTGTACAGTGCGGAAGACTGGCTTGTTGCGAGTTGAAAACTCAATAGCAAAATAGAATATGACTTTAGGTGAACTGGATAATTGTTCAAATTTAACTATTATTGCATACATATTGTAATTTGGTTTTCAATAATTGAGTCTTGAGTCTATTATATTGTATTGATTGTACAGGAATGGCCAAGACTCTTGTTACATTGCCACAATGCAGACCTGTTTTTAGAGAATATCCTCTTGGCAAAGGCTGATCTTTTCATTCTCATATAGTGTTAACAGTGTACTGGCTAGCAGCCATGTGTTCAGGCTGGGTTTTCCTAGCAGAAAAACAGTTTGCTTTGCATTAACTCATGCTGAGCTTGGCAAAAACGGCCTAGTTTTATTTTGTTGGTTATGTAGTTGTTTTTCCTTCTTCTTCATGATGGTTTTCGTAATGGTTGGCCCTTCTGTTAACAAGCAATATACAATAAAGGGTTTGCTTAAAGGGACACTAAAGACATTAAGACAACTTTAGCTTAATGAAGCAGATCATGTCTCTGAAGTTTCACTGCTCAATACTCTGCCATGTAGGAATTCAGTCACTTTTGTTTCTGTCCATGCAACCCTATCCACACCTCCCCTGGGCTGTGACTCACACAACCTGCACGTAAAATAACGGATCAATTTTAATCAGATGTTAACTTACTTTAGAAGTTTATATACCTTGCTCTGTAAATCTGTAAATTGAACTTTAATCACACACACACACACACAAGGTTGCTGCAGGGCATAGGAAGCTATTAACTGGGCAGGAGATAAGAAATTCTAAATAAATGTGCAAATAAAAGAAAGTTTAAAAATTAGATCTTACTTTACAGGAAGTGCTTAGAAAGGCTGGGAGATGTAACTATGGCTGCATAAAGTGATTCAACTCCTAAATGGTAGAGAATTGAGCAGTGGGACTGCAGGGGCATGATCTGTTCACCAAAACCAGTTCATTAGGCTAGAGTTGTTTTGGTGCCTATCTTATTAACCTATAGTGTCCCTGGGGGGCGTGGCTAACCGCCGAGCTTAATGGTCGCTTGAACCCGAGCTCCGGCTACCGAGGCCGACAATCTATCACAATCCGGACGATTAGGACCTGCAAATTGCCAAAATATAAGATGGCACAAGCTAAATCAAAGAAGAGCTCTGCAAAAAACGAAAAACTAAACTTTTTTAGCAACAAACAACAACTAGATGTCACGGAGCAACTGCGGCCTTCGCAAGATGGCGACGCCAGCCCGAATCCGCGAGACCCACAACGAGACACAGAACAGGCTAACCCAGCTGACCAACTTACCAAAAGCTACCTACAAGTAGCGCTTGACAACTTATCCCAGAAATTAATCATGTCCTGGCAACATTCTATGGACTCACTACGAAGGGATGTACAGGAGATCAACAAACGGACTTTGCTGTGGCACACAACGACCTTGCGAGCCATGTAGAGCACTTGGAGCAAAAACTTACCATGACTGAAGTGAAACTAGCGGACCTTGAAGACCGCTCCAGGAGGAACAACCTGCGGCTGCGGGGAGTTCCGGAGTCGGTCGGGCCGGAAGATCTGCAGGCATATGTAAGAGGCCTTATCAGGGCCTATGCACCTGATATACCGGGGGAGATGTTGCTCCTGGACCGAGTTCACAGAATCCCAAAACCAAAGTACCTGCCAGAAACCGTGCCAAGAGACGTACTCACACGAGTACACTACTACCATATAAAAGAGCTAATACTGCGCACAAGCAGAAATAAATCTGCTCCACATCCCGACTACTCCTCAGTAAAAATATTTGCGGATCTATCTGCTGCAACCTTGAAAAAGAGAAAGGATCTCTCCCATCTTGCGGACAGCTTAAGAGCCAATGGCATGAGGTTCCGATGGGGGTACCCGACAAAAATGATCATCTCCCGAGAGGGCAAGCTGCATACCATCTTCTCACCAGAAGAAGGAGCAAGACTCCTGCAAACCTGGGGTATAACGTGCAAAGCAACAGAGAAGGGGGAGACGTCTTCCCGCCGATTGCAGGTAGAATGGAAAAAGGTACCTGCACAACGAGCTGACTACAATCACTGCTAAATGGGAAAGGTGACCCGCATACCATATCAACACACGCCACTCAGGCATTTGATATGCCTTGAACCTCTGGAGGGACCCTCTAAAGATTTGACCTTGCACCTCCCGAATCACGGCAGCGAATTCGACCACCAGGGATTACCATCTGCAAGATACAATCGACATGGATATTTCTGTAACCTCAAGATCGTCAGTAACTTCAGACACATACAGGGGCGATCCCCCCCAGCAAGCAAACTCCCAGAACAGACTGGAGAGACATTGAGGACATTGAGAAACTCATTTTTGCAGTCTCTGCCTACTTGAGGGTTCAGGTACCGTACGAACATTTGCACTGACATAAGGGCTACAACCATCATATCCCACTACATTTTATAAACTCACTGCTTAGCCTTTATCCCTACACGACTGCTCTTAAAAGAGAATGCTGTTTGCAGCATCATCCCGCAATACATATAGATTAGAGATTAGTATAATATAAGGATAAGAGCCCCCAGTTGTCCAAAAGGGGATAATAGAGTAATGTAAGATGCTTGATGATTGCCATCAAATCACCCTGCCCACGGCATTAGGGACATGGTATCAGGATTCACCCGGACACTGGGAGGCTCCAAATACACATAATTTTTTTATAAAAAAATAAAAATAAAATAAATAAATTAAAAAAAACATGCCCCACAGACAACCACATATTTCTTACCCCCTTCTACTGAGCAATCAATGCAACGTATGATGAAGCCGAGATAAAAGGTGCCTGAGCCGCAAAAGTAAAGACTATGAAGAGCAGATGATGGAGCTAAGTCAGTTCCCCATGGTTATAGGCGTTAAATGTTACCTGTTCACTGCTAAACGCGGGAATGTATTATTATGTATTATTATGTCAAATTTTTTTTGCTGCATTAGGTGGTTATGGAGATACCTAGGTATGGCAAGAGGGCTCTCACAAAGAGATCACACCAAGACACGCACGGGTCACCACCCACAGAACCAGGTCCTATTCTATATAAATAGAACGTTAAGGCCGTTAGCCACCCAAACAGATATCTTGATATCTACCCCCCATGGCTCCGCAGATGGGCGCCATGACCCCAACTGGGGTGAGTTATAATGAACCAAGTTATACCCCCCCCGACTACCCGCAACTTCCCTACCCTTCCCGTATTCCATGTACCTATGATGCTACAGAAGCTCTCTTAATGTGCGACATACGCCTACAAATGCTACCTCTGATTTATGTATGGGTTAAAACAATACAGAAAAAACAACACACAGGCTACAAGGTAACGAAAACAGGGCAACCTGAGTGGCCCGTACGCAAGACTTTATCACTCACCAATGAGTGTGACAATACAATCCCATAATGTAAGGGGCCTTAATACCCCGCATAAAAGGAGAGTACTCTTAGAAGCAGCGAAACGTAACCATATAGATATCCTGTGCATACAGGAGACGCACTTTAAACACAATAAAGTCCCAGAATTTGGTACCAGAGACTTTCCCACTCAATTTCACGTGACTCACTCCTCCAAATCTAGGGGAGTGTCTTTCCTTTTTAACAAATCTCTTACGTTTGAATTGTTGCAACTCAAAAAAGACACGCAAGGCCGATATCTCATAATCTATTGCAACATTAACACTATTAAGTACACATTAGTGGGGATCTATAGTCCAAATGTTAATCAAATGAACTTTTTACTTAAAGTCCTTAACAAAATTCCAACCAGGCAAAAAACCTCAATGATATTATGTGGAGACATGAATCATGTTTTACACCCGGTAGCAGACACTTCCCTTGCCCAAGGCGCCCCCAGGTCAAGACTCCTCACACAACAATGCAAAACACTGACTAAAGTACTCCTAGAACACAACCTATACGATATCTGGAGATTACAACACCCAACCAAAAGAGGTTACTCATATTTCTCCCATATCCACAAAACCCATTCCAGAATAGACATGATTCTCGTTACTGCAGACATCTTGCCAAGAATGACAAGTAGTGAGATTGGGGACATAGTGTGGTCTGACCATGCCCCAGTGTCAGTAAGGTTGCGAGCCAAATTTGACCATAAAGGGAAACCCCCGTGGCGACTAAATGACGCTCTAATCATGCATAAAGACTTCCGCACTCAACTAAGTCAAGATATCCAAGAATACTTCCACAACAACACTCTACCAGAATTGGAACCCACAACCACCTGGCAAGCTCATAAAGCAGTGGTTAGAGGGATCTTTATTAGTAGGGCAGTGTATATAAAAAGAGCTAAAGACCAAAAATATCTTGATTCATTAAAAAAACTGAGGGATTTACAAAGCGCCCACTATCTAACCCCTACAGCAGACCTGGCAAAGAAAATAATTTCGATCACAAAGCAAATAAATGAGCTACTACTAGACGAAACGGCACATACGCTTCAGAACCTGAAGATACGCAATTATACTCAGGGTAATAGAGCCGGCAAGGCTTTGGCAACGCTCCTAAGACAGAAGCAAGCCCAATCAAAAATCCCATACCTACATAATCACACAGGAGGAAAAACGCATGACCCACGGGAGATTCTAGCAGAAATGGCCAATTTCTATGACACACTATACAACATAAAACAGGACCCCCAGACATCAACCGTCCGCACACGACATCCAAAACTTCTTATCTAACATCTCTTTGCCCAGCCTAACAGAAGACCAAAATAAAAAGCTCTGCGATCCCGTCACCCTGTCTGAAATCCTACAAATAATTAAATCACTCCCCCCGGGCAAGTCACCGGGACCAGACGGTCTTACAAATTCTTACTATAAAACATTTAGCCACATTGTAGGACCACATTTAGTAGATACATTTAACCACATAATATCCACGGGCAAGATGCCACAGGACATGCTGATGGCACATATAGTTACCCTGCCGAAACCAAGTAAACCCCCAACTAAGCCTCAAAACTTACGGCCCATATCCCTCCTAAATACAGATACCAAAATCCTAGCTAAACTGTATGCCACAAGAATCGCAGATATGCTACCTACAATAATCAAACAAGATCAAGTGGGGTTTGTTAAAGGCAGACAAGGGGCTGAGGGCACAAGGAAACTATACAATTTACTTTACACAAAGCAACGACAGGGAGAACCCAGTGTATTCCTGTCGCTTGACGCTGAAAAAGCGTTTGACAGGTTGCACTGGGGCTTCCTACGAGAAACACTACAGAAATTTCAATTCCCACAACCATTCCTAAATTTAATAATGGCATTATACTCCAAACCCTCGGCTAGAGTGACAAATGGAGGCTTCGCATCACAGCCCTTTTACATAACTAATGGAACTAGGCAGGGTTGTCCATTGTCACCACTCCTCTATATCATAGCACTGGAGCCACTGTTACAGGCCATTAGAGACGAACCACAAATCACAGGCATAGTAAGAGGGGGAAGGGAATACAAAATAACAGCATTTGCCGATGATGTAATGCTATCATTGACTAATCCACAACTCTCCATCCCAACCTTTAACACTATACTGAAGGAGTACAGTGATTGCTCATATTACAAGTTAAATGTGACTAAGACACAAGCAATGAGCCTATTCACGACACCTGAGGCACACAGCACCCTACAAGAATCCACTGCCTTTGAGTGGAGACAAGACTACCTCACGTTCCTGGGTATAAAATTTACGACTCACATACACAAAATGTTCAAAGCCAATTATACCACACTTCTCCACTCTATCAAAACTCAACTTAGAAGCTGGGAAAACAAATATATCTCATGGTCTGGGAGGGTAGCCGCTATTAAGATGATGGTTCTTCCCAAGCTCCAATACCTATTCCGCACCCTACCCATACAATTACCTACAGCATACATCAAAGAAGCACAGAAAACGATTAACGCCTTCATCTGGGCTAAGAAACGACCCAGGGTTGCAGCAAATATACTTTACCTATCACAAAAATCGGGGGGCATGGGTCTCCCAAACTTAGACTTATATTACAAAGCGGCGATAGTTAGCACACTAGTGGCAGTATTCCGCTCCCATTCCACACCCCCGGCGTGGGTACACTTGGAAGCGTCACACACAGAGGGACACGACATCACAACACTAGCTGGAATCAATAAAACTCACAGGAAAAAGTTTCAGGATATTTCCCCGATAACATCCTTAACTCTGAAAGAATGGGATAAATATACGAAATTCTTAAATCTTGATACAGAGCTACACCCAACAATGCTCCTGCGCTCCTTTGAAGTACTGATCCCACAACTAAACATTAGAAAATGGAACAATGAAGGCCTAACACACTTACACCAACTCATGGATAATGATAAATATACAGCATTTGCCTCACTACAAAGAGCGTACAAGCTCCCACTTACAGCGGAGTTCGCACATAGACAGATAATCTCGTGGATAGGGAGACACAGAGGGTCACCATACACCACAGAAACAGAATATGGAGGCATTGAGACAACTATGTACCAACTCTAACAAAACAGCTGGTATCATCTCCAAAGTATATAGGAGTTATTTACCCACAAAACAGATAAGGGACCTGACCTTTATCAAAAAATGGGAATATGACATAGGGAAACAATTATCAGAAGAAAACTGGCGCAAAAGCTTTACGGCCCACAAACACCTAACTCTATCCACAGCCCACATAGAAATGTCGAGGAAAATGCTGTATAGATGGCATATGGTACCTACCAAGCTGAAACATATTGACCCGAAACAGACAGGAGCGTGTTGGAGATGTGGTGATGACAAGGGAGATGTCATACATATTTGGTGGACATGCCCTGTCATTACAAAACTATGGAAGTCCATACAGTCCCTTATGCGACAAATATGGAATACGGACGTGACACTTGCGCCTGAGATATTCCTTCTACAACATATACCACGGAACCTTTCAAAATCCCAACAATACCTCCTTTTTCACATAGCCATAGCAGCAATCACAACTATAGCCAAGGCGTGGCTTCAAAAAGATCCTCCACTAATAGACACGATCATCTCACACCTAGATAACATCAGACTTTATGAATGTACTGTACGGGCACATAGGGCGCCAAAAAACTTTTGCATAGATGCATGGCATATGTGGGACGAATACAGGCACCCCATAAAATGTGGCATATAGACAAGGAAAGAAACAAGGCAACTAAGAGACGAGGTGCCATCTCTGGAGACTAGGTAGAATATGTACATGGGAAATACCGAGAACTTATGTTCTCCACCCTCCCTCCCCACCCCCTTCCCACCACCCAGTTCTTCTTGCTTTTCTTTTTGTTCCCCCCTGTTAGTTTTTTAGTTTTAGCTATTGTCTCACAACTCACACATACATATCGAATAAAAAACAGGTACGAAAGGAAGAATTCTCATAAACAAGAAGGTATACCTGTAACGTCACTACCCCGGATTAATAGACAAGTTAAAGCCGCAGTCAGAGGGGGTAAAGGAAAATGAGAACAATGAGTTCAAATACAGTAAGACCACTGACACTGCGAACCCTACACATATCATTTGACTCTAACGACAGGAAACGAGTCTAGGTATTCAATGGTATAACTATTCCAATGGGAAGTGATGTAATGCTGTGTTCCAATCACCGGGTAAACTAGTACAAGAACGTTGAGTTTGATTGTTTTGCACCGTGTGATACGGGAAGTTGTGAAAAATTTGGAAAGCATCAAGTTTTTACGTATGTTGAATATAGGGGATGCCATTGTGACAATTGATGATTGTACATACCAACAATGCACATTTACTGTTTGTACCTCATAAAATACAATAAAAAAAAAAAAAACCTATAGTGTCCCTTTAAAGCAACTCTGTCACTTAATTTTTTTTTCATGGAGATTGAATGGAAAACTCATGTAGACTGAATTGGAATTTTATCAAAAGATAGAAGATATACATGATAAAAAGTAGTCCTTACTACTCATTTAATAAAAGAAGTACAAGACGAAGTTTATTACACAATATGCACACATAATGAAACCATTATTCTGCCTGTTGGGTACAAGTAAGGTTTTTAAGTTAACATATAGTGATTTCCCGAACGATTCGCCGCAGACGGTGAACATGTGACCCTGTACCTCACAGTCAGCAGACACATTCCAGCCAATCAGCAGCAGACCCTCCCTTCCAGACCCTCCCACCTCCTGGACAGCTCACTAAGAATGCAGCTTCAAAATGGATGCTGTCCAGGAGGTGGGAGGGTCTGGGAGGGAGGGTCTGCTGCTGATTGGCTGGAATGTGTCTGCTGACTGTGAGGTACAGGGTCATATGTTCGCCGTCCGCGGCGAACCGTTCGGGACATCACTATTAACATATATTTATTTATTGTTACGTTACATATTTTTTTACTAAACATTTTTTCAATAATTTATAGTTTCAAAGAATAAAATAAATATCTTCCTTTTTACTTTTATTTAAAGAATCTTATTTTATTCAACTTTAATAACCTTTAGAAGCATATTATCCATTTAAAGGACCACTATTGTGCCAGGAAAACAAACTCCACCCACTTGGCTTTTTTTCTTTGCTTTTAACTACTTTCATCAGTATATCCATATTACAGACCATGGTTTAAGCCATATTCTTTTTCAAATAATTTTAAAAAGTTGTGGTTTAATCCAAATTTTAATTAAATGCTTTAATATAAAATTTGTAATGTTAATTTAATGAGATATAGATATATATTACAACACACTCACAGTGGGGTGTTTTTTTTAACCCCTTAAGGACCAAACTTCTGGAATAAAAGGGAATCATGACATGTCATGTGTCCTTAAGGGGTTAAAGGAGGTGGGATATTCATCATTTCTCTAAAAATTAAACCATTGAATAAAACATTGAAAATTATGATTTGTGTTAACCTTTTATCCTTTGAAATTTATATTAAATAGTAAGCAATTGATGTCTTAAACCAGCGGATTCAAGGCACAGTCATGGCACACAATGCAAATTGCATTGTTTCATTTCTCTTTATCTGTGGTGACTTCTAGGTGCAAAGTCAGAGTTTATCTATGATTGATAGGGAGCTAAGATGTAATGTTTAGGTGCAGGACTGGAGTGGATTTCTTCAACTAACTTTATCACACCTCACAAAAATAAATGAGTTGATAAGTAGACATAATATTAAAAATTATGGGGAGCTCCAGTTCTCCTTTAAAAAATCTCAGTCATTAATTTTCCTTAACCTTCCTCCAGAGGCACCTATATACCCCTCAGTAGGTTGGATTCTCTATATTTAGAATTTACATAGAACATATTTCTAAGTTTACAGAGGACCATGGAATTATTCAGATGGGGAAACTGTTAGATATTGTCTGTTTTTTTTCTCAAATAATCTGTATTGCCTCTATACCCATATTTCTTTGTCTTCTTCATCATCATTTTTATCTTCAAGGCCGATAGCACTATCTGCATGAAAGCCTTGTAGCTAGCTCTTAATTTCGGAGCCATTCGGCGTGTTGCACAAGACTCCTTGCAGGGCAAAGATCTTGAAGAACCTTAGAAACATTGATGACCATTTTTAGGTTCCGCCATTACTCTGACAGCCCTGAGGTATCAGATGGCATATTGAAGATACCTATGTATATATTATTAACTACATAATGGTAAATCTGAGGTTGAGTATAATCTGCCTTTACTA